TCGGACGGAGAGGAACAGTCCCCGCGCCGTCATTCTTTGCATGTTCTACCGAGTAAATTAGGCCATATTTCCGTATTCCGCTTTTGTCAATTCCTTCCTAGCCATGCGCCACGTTAGCTGCTCGTGAAGTCAATGGGAGCTCAAGAGCTCCCAAAGTTCTATGTTCGATAACTGTTGTGTTAATGTGCTCAAATTGATGTGTGCATGTAAGTGTAAACAACTTATCAGTGTTTTGAAATCACAGAAAACATTATTAATCATATGGAAATTTAACGGGAAAATATTTATAATTTTCTTCTGGTACCTGGATATCTATAACCCGACTAAACAATTTAATGAGCGTAGTTTTCTCTATCACGAGCAATTTGTCATGACTCAAGATAACATGAATTTTGTATTCTCACTCTCGGCTCGCAGGTTAGAGTTTCGTATTACTCTATTCGTGTGTAGTATCCTCTCCTATCATTTAAATTTTGTTGTAAAATTAGCGTATTTTTTTATTTTTTGTCAGAAGCAGTTGGCTGACCTCTTTAGTGACGAAAAACTATCTGAAGAAGAATTTTACATTTAATTTCTCCTAAAAATGCATTTTATCTCCTTAACGAAACTGGGAGTATAATACGTACAAAACATATGGAAGGGATGTGAATAATATTCAGAAGTATTCTAACAACATCAGTAGAGAGTTTTGATTACTTTATAAAGCTGGACAGCAGAGATTGTACACGTTACAAGGACATACACAACGAAAATGAGGAATATGAAGTTTCAGAGTTAAGGAAGAAATGTGTAAAAAAAAGTTGACGACACTCTGAGAAATAAAACATATTGTTTATTAGATCAAGAACTGCTACACGTAAAATATTATTAAAAAATATTAAACCCGTGTTTAAAAAAATAAAACACACGACTCCAAATAATCAGACCTTCTAACAATTTGAAAAAAAATGGCCAAATTTAAATAATAATGCTAACTTCCACAATTTCGATCTAAAATCGATAAATATTTTTGATACAAATGTGTTATATTTTTAACGGTTTAGGTGAAAATTAAATT